TAACTTTACTAATGTTTTGAATTTTTCTAAAAGTCAATTCTCTAATAAAGACATAATCATAGCATTAATAGCAGTTTATTATTCAGTTATTAAATAAACGATCTAATAAAATTATAAATTGAGCATGAACACTATTAAGTAATTAGTTTATTAAAAGTGAAAAAAATATACAGACTGTCCTGAAATGTATAGCAGATGTGAGGGCCACCCCTGATAAAATCCATAAAAATGAACACGATGGAATTAACTTGTGGGGTTCCATTAAGACTTAATGATTAAGTAAATAAATCGGCTGCAAAATGATATATTAATATTGTATGAGTATTTTGAGCACATCATTACCCTAAATATTAGTTAATCAAACCTAGTATTAATTTTTAAATAAACAAAAACTTATATTATTTTATTATTATAAAAAACCACAACAATGTATAAGAGAAGAAAATTAAGGCTCATTTAATCATATAATTTAATAGTTTTGTTTTTGGGTAAAACTAAATGAAACCCTTTTATGTAAATCAAATTCAAAACTTTTAAGGGCAAAATATATGGCGAATATAAAACATTACATAAATATATTGTATTAAAGAATATTCTTAAAATAAGCCATTTATTTAATGTTTGCTTTCGTTTATAACTAATGTATAAAACCTGATACACAACTCAATCGCCGATAAGAGAAATAAAACAACAAAACACTGTATTCTTGTTGTAGTAAGTCTTAAGTCCAGAATTTAGTGAATAAATCAAATTTTTATATTCATATCATTAATTCATAAATTGTTAGAACAAAACTCAAAGTTATGTAATAAACATATTATAAGAGTAAATGATATGCATTTTGTAGCGCCGATGAGAAGTTTGATAGTACTTTTCGGACGAATGTGGTCGTTAACAATAACGGGTCGTGTCTGTATGTGCCGCCCGGCGTATTCAAGAGCACCTGTCAGATAGACATCACTTGGTTTCCCTTTGATGACCAGAAATGTGTGATGAAGTTCGGCAGCTGGACGTATGTGTGCACACATTTCATACCCAATTCCCTTTCCCTGTCGTTCCCCTCCCTATCATATAAATTCGCTTCTCTATAAAAACCTAAACATATAAAAGCCTGCATAACGTTACATAACATCACATTTAAACACATCGTATACCGTATGCCTCAATAGACTTTACTTTTGCCCTTAAATTGACTTTCACTTCATCTCACTTTATATGTAATCCTTTTAAAAATGAATGTATTTGAGAGTGAGAGTCAAGAAATGTATGCATCAAACATGTCTTTTTGCTGCAAATGTAACACAAATTGAAATCCTCTGCCTTTCCCTTCAGATACGATGGCTTCTCATTAGATCTGGATTTAGCGGGCAATGAAGAGGGCAAAGAAGAGGGCGATTTGACACCTTTCCTGCCAAACGGCGAGTGGGTATTAGTCGGTAAGAAAGAGACGGCACAAACACACAGCACATTGTGTGTCAAATGTGTGGCTATTTTTTTATTTGTTTGTTAATCAAATTGCAAAATGCACTACAATTCAGGCGCTCCGGCGAAGCGTACGCTCCAATACTACGACTGCTGTCCTGAGCCTTACGTTGACATCACTTTCACTATTCATATCAAAAGACGAACACTTTATTACGGATTTAATCTAATAATTCCTTGTATTATATTGTCGTCAATGACTTTACTTGGATTCTCATTACCGCCCGATTCTGGAGAGAAACTTCAATTGGGAGTCACTATACTATTGTCAATGACTGTAAATTATATTTCAATTCAATATAATTATAATTATTAATTATTAACATACATAATCTAAGACGATCTTGTTCTAAAATTACAGGTGTTTTTAGTACAATTGGGTAAAATACTCCCAGGTTTGTTTCCACTTTATGCACTATTTTTAATCTCAACTATTAATAATATACGGCATAATTTATATTGTATATTTGATTAGTATACTTAATTAAAAGTAGAAACTTTGCAATTGATTAATTAAAAGCAATTTATTTTTTGAATAAATAATAAAATGTTCAATAAATTGCTAATTATTTCTTTATAAGACCATTACTTGTTTGATAAGTGAGCCCTTGAGACCAAATAGTAGTATATAACTAATCCCTACAAACAGATTAATCTCAATTTTAATAACATTAGCTGACATTTCGTATTCTTTAATTAATGCCTTAATAATAACTCACAGAAGCCTTTCAATTGAATGGTTGATAATTTAATTTTGATTTCACACTAAAAACAGTAATTGATATTATTTTTTGGTTCATTTACAGCGACGTCTGAATCCATATCAATAATCGGTAATTAAAATACGATAAACGTTTTCTCAGACAAAACCATTAATATAAATATATCACTAATATATAAAACGTGATACAAAAAGCGGCATATTTTGCGTCCATTATGGTAATGGTTGCCTTCTCGGTAGTCATGACTGTCGTTGTCCTTAATTTCCATCACAGGACTTATGAAACCCATGAAATGCATCGAATGGTATATCACTTTATATATAACACTAACTTTTTTAAAAACCTTTTTGAAACTAATTTATTATCAAAAAATTAATTAAGTTTTGCAAACCATTGTGTTATACAATAATGCCATACATTGTATAATAAATTGGTTTATAATATGGTATATATTGTTGTTTAAAATGAGAAATAACTGATTGACAGATGAGAGCAATAATGTTGGAGTGGTTGCCGTGGATATTACGGATGGAAAGGCACGGAATAAAGCCTCCCCGACGTATCGCCGGATCTGTTGCGCGAATGAAAGCCATTAATTACAGACCCAACGACTCGACAGCTAAAGAAGACAAGGATTTAGAAATGTTTGCCAAAAGTAGGCCTCAAATGGAGAATATATGGAGCGTTGAGGAGGAATGCAAAGCCAGGGACGCAACACATGTCCAGTTGAATAGATGCCAAACAAATGCCTTAACCCATAAAACAAACAATCACTGCAATCACATCAGAGATCACACCATTGAACACAACTATAATCGCCAGCACTTCGCCGCCGCCGACAGCGCCGATCAGCCGTCGGCCGCCGACTATCCGCAGGACTCGCCCACCGCTCACAACAACCCATACAGTCATCCACTGAGCGCTAAACACAAGAAAATCAAAGAAATTCTGTTTGAAATGCGATTCATAACGAATCGGATGAGAAGACAGGACGACATCAACGAATTGATTGCCGAATGGAAATTTGCCGCAACTGTGTTGGACCGGCTCTGTCTCATTGTCTTCAGTCTATTCACAGTCCTGTCCACAGGTCTCTGCCTCTACTCTGCCCCTCAACTCATGGTCTAACACTTTAATACATGGTATGTGTCCAA